TTCTTGAAAGCCTTCGTAGACCAGAAGCTCTGGGGGTAAAATGTTTTTGAATCATAGCATAAATTGCAGACACTGTGAGAGATAAAGTTTCTGCATTTTCTCTTAGCTTCATAAATACACCCCAAGTCTAACTCATAGTCACAGATGCAGCACAATGCCGAGAAAATAAGTTGACTTCTTATTAAGTAAACCAGAGTACTAACAACTCCCTAGGGGCGGAGCCCTAGGCAGCTTCCAGGACAGGCTTCTCCCTCTGTGCAGACTAGAGGTCTTAGCCCACAGCGACTCTTCAGGGTTTGGTGATTTCTTTTGTTAACTGATATTATTTTTTCTAATTTACAACACATTCATTAATGACAGATCAAAATCAAACATTACATTATACCTGGTTTTGTTGACAAGGAGGTAGTGGAGTGTGAAATGCAGCTGCATGTTGGTGCTGTCCTGGGAAGGACATTGTTTTGAGTGGGCAATTAAAGCTTGAGGTTAATAAAAGTTTGTTATTTATATGAACCTCTCCTCTTTTGTTCCATCAAGTTTAGTGGAAGCTTTTCTGGAACAAACAGGATTTGCCTGACTTCTTTCACCCAGGATGCAGAATCTAATTTCAATGTAATTATTTTGAATGAGTATTGTTCTTAGCCCACTTGCAAATTGCTGTAACTGAAGTTACAAGTAGCATCTGCCTTGGGGAGGGCTGCTCTGACTCTTGTATCACTGTTATTTTAATGACTTTCTTTTGCATAAAGTCTTTCCCTACTACCTCATCATCCAAAGATGTTCATTTTTCCTGTTTCTTTGAAATTTTGTCATTTTTCGTCAACAGTTAAAACATTGTCCTCGTTATCTTTAATTCCACATTGCTTATAAAAGGTCCCGACGGCTCACTGCTCTGTTCGTCTTCATCACCTGCTTTATTTTCCAGAGATGTTAGCGGTAGTCTCTCAAGAATTAGTACAAGGTCATTTGAGGCAATTTAACGATTACAGTGTCTTCTAGCTCATAAACACGTGTTCCATGTGAGCCTGGACATGAGGCGCTGTCTTGTAGCAGATGTGCTGGTGCTCTGGCTCTTACAGCCCCGCCCCTCCTGCCTTGCTCCCTGAGCCTTAGGTATACAGGTCATGTTGTTGGAAGCATCCATCGGTGATGGGCACCCAACAGTCTGTTGTTCTCTGCGTTTTGACTAGTTGTGGATTCCTGTGATGGTTTCCTCTGCCAGGAAAAGAAACTTCTTTGATGAGGAGTGAGAGCTGCACCTATCTATGAATACAAGGATGGGTATTTAAAATGCAGTTGGGACTTATACTCATTCTTCTGAACTTTAGACTTTTTTTTTATAATTGATTCCTAATGGGTTTCACACCATGTACCCTAATCCCATTCATCTCCCTGTCCCTTCATATGTGCCCTCTGCTCTTGCAACCTCCCCCCAGCAAAAAAAAAAAAAATAAAGTAAAATTTAAAACAAACAAACAAACAAAAAACTAACATAAAAAAAGCAAAAAAAAAAAAAAATTCACCAATGTCCTAGTGTGGAAGCTGTAGTGTGATGCAGTGAGTCACATAGTGTACTCTTTAGTCCACACATCTATACTTGTAAGTGTTCATTGCAATGAGTCATCAGTCTGGTTCGAGGCCCCTGGCTTCTGCTACACTGGGCCCTCCCTGGGACTCCTCCTGATTATCCTGTTGTTGCCTTGTGTCACAGAGATCCTGCAGCTTTGGGTCTGCAGGCCTGGCCCCTTCAGGTTTAGGCATGAATTTTAGACTCTTTAATGTAACTAGAGATTCAAGAATTTAAAGAATGTTTAATAGCAGATCAAAGCTAAAATGATTTTATTTTCATAATAGATGAATTTTCTCAGGTAAAAGTTCTTAGTTGTTAAGTTTATGTTTATCCCATAGGCTTCAAGTAAGAAAATGGACTTCTGAGACTTGAACTTTGTGAGATGTATGCATGACAACAGAGTAGATGGTTATAAAGGGGGGTTAAAGGGAGACTAATTAATCCCTCTAATTACTTAGAAGGATAAATGTGCTAGAGCCAAGGGTTAATGGTGAGGTTGAGTGGCCTCATCTGTGAAAGGTAAGGATGATTTCAATAGAAACACAGGAATATAATTTACAACATTTGAGCCACACAGTTCAGCTCATTTAACTCTTGAGAGAGGGCTATAACATAGTTTTTATATATTTGCTTGACTAGTTGAGCAAAAATGTGGATTATTATTCTAAAATAGAGACTAAAAGCAGAAGAAGGAAGAGAATTTCAAACAAAGATTTCTAATCAAGAAAATGGAATTCTGGGGCTTGATTGTTATTTTGAGATCATATTTTGAGTGCCAGGATTAGATGTGATGGAGGGGTCATATGAGTGCAATTGCCTGTGAGGCCAGAAGAGGGCGATGGAACTCTTGGAGTTGGAATTCAAAAGGGTTGTGAGCTCCTCACCATGGGTGCAGGGAATCCCACTCAAGTGCTCTGGAAGAACATCAACAGTTCTTCATTCCTGAGCCATCTCTCCAGCCCCTGGTTTATGCTTTTAGGAGGTCACTTTGAGATGCTGTGTGTACGTCAGAGAATGAGGAAAAAGAGCCCTGAGAACAGAGAGGTGATTTAATGTCAGTTAGCACAGCTTGATGGCACAGCACTAGGGGTCTGGACTAGACAAAGCACTTGTTCAGTCCAGTGGAAATTTAAGTTTTGACAATAAAACGGTGCCAGTTGTAGAACTGTGACTTTCTTTTCAACCACTCTGGACATCACCATCACATAAAGAACTTGGAAAGAAATCTAGATGCTTAGGGCCAGCCCCCACAGTACTGAGGTGGGTTCACTTAGGGTATCCCATGGGTGATTAACAGCAACAATAACCACATTTATGTGGTATATATACACAATGGAATTTTATTAAGCCATAAAATGAAATCATGACATTTGTAGGAAAATGGATGGTAATGGAAATTATTATCTTATGTGAACTACCCCAGACCTTGAGAGACAAATAGCACATTTTCTCTCATATGCAAATCCTAGATCTTTATTTTTATGTGTATGAGTGTGTGAGGGATAGGACAGGGAACTAGAGTCTAGACAATAGTAAGAGAGAAGTCTTAAGTGAAGGTTGAGGGGAAAGAAGAAGAGATGAAGAGAATTCTAGGATAAATGTAATATGAGAGCAGGGTGGAGGCTGTGGAGGGAGGCGGGGGCTAAGGGGAGTGTGGACAGATGAGCAAGAACCAAGTGTGGATGGAAATCGTACAGTGAAACTCATGACTCCGAGCGCTAATTTAAAAAGTAAAAACTATGATGAGAACAAACCCTTTTAATCTTCCTGCTCTTCATCACTGAAGTACCATTGTTTCAACAGAGTATAACTGGTGCCGAACCAGGAAGACATCAGGCTTTGGGGAGCGGCAGAGAATTCTTCCATTCTCTGGCTGGAAATTGTCTGCTCTGTGGTTCAGTAACCTTGTAAAATTATTGCTACCACTCAGTGCAGCAGAGCGTGGCACGGGGACAGCATTCTACAGTGTTTATAATATAAAGTAACGAAAGAAAGCCACTAATAAGCTCTGCTATGGAAGTCTTCCAGTTACCATTTAATCTGAGAGGAGCTGGAACAGGCCAGGAGAGAATAAACAACTCTTGGAGGGCAGGGTGAATTTGACCTAAAGGCAGAAATTTTATGGTAGCAAGAGGCTGTGAAGGATTCTCAGCTGGGACTGAGAGAAAGCAAACACCTTTGGCTGGATACCTTAGTTAACTCTACATTTGGGGAAGTATTAGTCATTTACTTTTTTAAGATTTTAGGTTTCATTTACTATGTATGTGCGTGCAGCTGACTGTGAGTGCCCTCGGTTACCAACAGAAAGTGTCAGATCCCCTGGAGCTGGAGTTACAGGTGGTTGTGAGTTGGCCAGGTTGGTGCCGGAACCAAACTCATGTCCTCTAGAAGAGTATCAAGCCCTCTAAAGCCCTCTCCTCAGTCCCTGGGTTTTATTATTTTAAACTTTTTTGAAACTTTCATATCTGTATACACTCCTCCCTTCCAACTCTTCCCCCACTCCCACAAAACATATCTCGCACCTGCCTCCCAACTTTATTCTCTCTCTCTCTCTCTCTCTCTCTCTCTCTCTCTCTCTCTCTCTCTCTCTCTCTCTCTCTCTCTCTCAGTTCTATGAGTCCAATTAGTGCTGTCCATATGCCCATGTGTGGAGTCATTCGCTTGGGCACCTTCCCCCAAAGAAAATTGACTCTCTGTCCCTTCAGCAGCCATCAACTGCCGCTGGCCTTCCAGCTATTATGGGGGTGAAGGACCCCCTCCTTCCTTAATGCTGGAACTTTCAACCCTCTTGACCTTGTGCAGGGCCACAGCTGCTGGGAACTCACGCATGTAACAGACATGTCACGGCAGAGGCCAGACTTTCCTAGCTCACCTCCACACAGCTATGACACAAGATATCAGGGAAAACAAAGTGGACTTGAGTTAGTGCAGTGAACTGTGCTATCCTTACACTGTTGCCCACATACAGGTTCCATGTTTGAAATAACAGGAGCTTTGTGGCATGTTTTAATGGCTAAGAGTCCCTTAGTTTCTCATCTTCAATATTTTCCTGTGTACACTTGAATTATTTTTCCCATGTAAAGTTTAGCATCAGTCTTATCTAGCTTCACTAAAAATGCCATCATTGTTTTTACTGGCTACAGTTTGCACTGATAGATTAAAAGAGCATTGATAAAATTATGCAAGTGAGTCATCCTCTCTAAGAACAATGCCTGTCTTTCATTTGCTCAAATCTCCTTTTCTATTTTTTGAGGAATATTTACAGTTTTTCCACATGGTAGTTTTGCACAATTCTTCTTAAATATGTTTCAATTTTATGATTTTTTAAGATTTACTTTTTAATTTTTTAATTTTTCTTCTTATTATTATTATTATAATTATTATTATTATTATTAGTATTAGTATTATTATTTTAACTTTAGTTCTTGGAGACGGGGTTTCTCTATGTAACCCTGGCTGAATTGGAACTCACTCTGTAGACCAGACTGGCCTCAATCTCAGAGATCCACCTGCCTCTACCTCCGAGTGCTGGGATTAAGGTGTGCACCAACACCACCTGGCTGCAATTTTATATTTTCAATGCAATTTTTTGGTGGAGTTTCTCTACCTTTATATTCACTAGTAGGCTTTTGCATATGCACATAAAGATAATTAATTTCCCAGTGTTATTTTAAATTTTGATACCTTACTATTTCTTCTGAGTTAGACTTACCACATCTTCCTAGGGCTTTGCCCCTGTGCCATCGTGTAATTTGCAAACCCACACTATTTGAGTTCTTGCCGATTCTTACACTTCTGACTCAAGTCTCATGCTGAATGGCTTCAGGAGGACACTAATACAGTGTCAGAGTTGGAAATACTGTACAACTTTGCCTGGCCCCTACGCTCCCTGGAAATGGAGTGGTTTCTCCTGATGTAAATTCAGGGATCAGGATTAAAGTATGTACATATTTGACTACATTAAAAAAGCTATCAATTTCTATTTTTTTAATTGGAAATGATCGTCACATTTGATTAAATATACATGCACATTATATGCATATTATGCATGTTATATCACTCAATGCTGTACATCTTAAGAGTTTAGACAAATTCATAATGGCACATCTCCATCATTGTAGTTTCATGAATAGTGTCATTGTCCTAAACCTCATCTGTAGTCTTCCTATTCATGTTAAAAACCATAGCAACTGGTTATCTTTGTATCGTCTCCATTGTTTGGGCAGTATGTCATGTGGGGTTGGAATTACAGTAGAAAGCATTTTGGATAGGCTTCTTCCCACTGTAATATACACTTGAGGTTATATTGCATTGTGATAAAGCTGTCATTCTGTTTTACTGAACTTGATCCTGTTTTCCTTTTGACCCATTGGTTGTTCACTTTTTTAATATTTAATGTTTATATGACAAGAAAATAATACTTTTGTCAGATGTAAGTTCTAGTCTACAAAAGCTTGCCCTACCTTTTTGCATATTTACATTTGCTGTATCTTTACTTATGTAGAGTCTACTTGATCTGCCTAAGTTCAAAAGAGGGACTACACCCTTGGCGATCCAGTTTTCCATGGTAGCACAATTGTTCTCCTCCTCTCCATCCTCCATGGCCACCTTATGCTTTCTCATCCTCAGCTGGTCTAGGCATCTCACTACACATCCCAGGAGGCCCCCAATTTTTATATGTTATTTCAAATTTTTCATTTTTCCTTCCTGTTTTATTGTGTAAAAGCCATCTCCTTGCATATGCTTCTCGAGGTCTGTTAGGCATGCTTGGAGAATGACTGTTCTTTCTGTTTGCTCATATATGGCCACAAGAAGTTCAAAGAGCCCCAGGGGCAGCCATAACTTTAAATTTTCCAGGAATTTGTGGTGTTTCTTGTTAAGAGAGACACTTTTGGATGCCAGGACCTCAGACCCTGTAGGGTCTAGGATTGTGTGACATGAAACATGAATCAATGTATCATTGAGAATTACAGTAAATAGAACCACACCTCCTCCAACTTCTTGGTCTCCTTATATCTTCACTATTTGAGGCAAAGTGCCTTGTAGAGTGTTTTTCATGAATACACCATGTGTCACTTTTGTGAAACCTTTAAAAGGCTGCTTCATTGTCCAATGGGAAAGGCTGCCTGTATGTTTCAAGACAGCTTAAGGTCAGAAGATTGTATCCTGGGTCCACTCTCCTATCATGTGAAGAAGGCTCTAATTCAGAGGCTGGATCTGTGGAATTAGATGCTATGGATTAGGCATTCTGTATAGCAGAGTAGAAGCTCCAAGTGCAGTAGAAGCAAATGGTGCCCATTGTCTGTGAAGACACTGATAACACTGAAATGGCAAGGGACCAAGTGTAATACACTTGTCACTAAGTGGCTAGTTGGCTTTCTGGGGGAATGGTGATGTATTGGCAAATGTGTTTGTCTCTACTGCTGGCAGTTTGGATTAACATCATCATCAGTAACTGTTATCCAGCTTGGCAAAGGGAAGTCCATCTTTCAGACCGACCAACGTATAGCCCATGTCTTTCTTACCTTGTCTGTTTTCCTCAGACGCTACCCAATCTAGTCTGAAGGTTGCCAGTGACAAAAGGCTAGCCAATGTCAGTTAGATGAGACATTGTGTGCCCTTGATTCTTAGTTGGTTTTGACGTGTACTTCCTAGTGGGCCTCAGTATGTGATACAAAATCCTTTGCCCTTAGTGTAACTGACCTACATATCCCTTCTATGGCTGTAGCTATTTCCTCTTTTCTTCTCTTCTACGTCTCTTCTACCTGGACCTTTGAGCTCTCCATCCCACCTGAGGTCATGTCTCTCCAGGAAAAGAATGACCTGCCGACCTGTTCACAGATCTTGTTAAGCAATTCTGTCCTCCCTGCTGTAACTCGGGATGCCCACAGTTGTGTCATGAAGTTGCTGTTCATCTCCAGCTGACAACCACTGAAGCTAACCCACAGCAGATCATGCTCAGCCTCTTTTCCTGCTCCATCTGGGTACATAAGTCCCGCCTTTCTATCGCAACATGTACTGTCTTGTGTAAAAGACAATCTGATGCATCTCTGAGAGCTAACCTGGAAGTCTGGGCTATCTCCACATGCAGTTTTCTTGTGCCCTCCCCCTCGACCTGTTTGTATTCAATTGTGGTTATAGAATTTTCCATCTCAATTTGTGTCTTGGCAGTTCCCATTGAATTCAGGAAATACTGGGAAGTTTTGGGTGTAGATTCAGTTGATTCTTCAAGGGTCAAGCACTCTTGCTCTACCAAGACCTACTGACACCAAGAGTTATTTCCCAACAATCTTATTATTTTCAGCTGTGGATTACATGACTTCACTCTTGACTCCTGAAGGTAGCACACTTCTCTTGCTGAAGATTGTTGTGAGCTGTATTGTCTCTGTCTGCATCTTCCACTTCTCTAATGCTGCAGGGTCTTCAGGAATGCTGCGCTGACACAGAGATGCATGGGGTTCCCCTTGAACTGGCAATCTTCAGAGTACTCAGTATATGGAAAACAGTGGCTTTCCTACATATAGATATTTTTGATCTCAGAGTTCAAAGTGGCCTATCCTTCCTTTTGGTGACACAATGTATAATATTGTGCTTAATTTGTCCTGTAGGAGACAGTGCAGTACATTCATAGTCACTGGACTCATAAGACCTCAGAGAACTGGCCATCCCTTGAAACTTACTGAAGTTTATTCTCACTATCTGGAGTATTCTTCATTCAGTATGATGTTATATGTTTAGTGGGTTGGGGTGTTGTTATGTAGCATATTCTTATAGTGCAGACCCCTTCAGACGGTATTATTATAGCAGAAGTCTAGGAACACAGGAAAGCTTTAAGTGACTATTTTCTAACCCACATAAACACAAACTTTTCATTTTCTGTTATAATTATAAAGGAAAAGAATACATTTGCTAAATCAGTAACTACACAGCAAAGATGGGAAGTCTTAGTAATCTGTTGTCACAATGACACTACATCTGACCCAGCAGCTGCAACTGAGGCTGTGGTAAACTCTTGTCACTTTCTGGTGAAATAAACAATGTTCTAATAGCAACCTCCATCCCTGTATCTTTTAGGTCTTTGATGACAATGTTGACCTCTGATGTCCTCCTCATCCTTATCCAATACATGTATGCATGCATGTGTGGACACATACACACCAAATATAAATATATATGACTAAAAAGTATGAAAATGTGTGTTATTGACTGATTCTCAAAACTCAGAGTTCCACCAGACTCCTGTCTTTTAGCCTTCTCTTTAGATAATCTAATATGTTGTTCATTTCCAATAGATCTTTTAGGAATAATCACTAAAAATCGAATTCTGAGGTTAATTAAATTATGTCCTATCTTCAAGTAATTTATGTTTTAGAAATTAGTGGTCAATATTCTCCCTTTGTATTTAATATTTGATAAAATGAAAATTAAATAGCAAACCATTCCTTGAGAGACTAGGAACATACTAGTCTTTAGAGAAAATTGTAGTTTTGGTAAAAAAAAAAAATTATTTCTTTCCTGAGCCTCCCCATCTCTCCCTTCTATCTCTGTTCTCTCTTGGGCATGGATTCTCAGCCTCCCAATCTCTTCCTCTATCTCTGTTCTCTCTTGGGCATGGATTCTTAGCCTCCCAATCTCTCCCTCTATCTCTGTTCTCTCTTGGGCATGTATTCTTAGCCTCCCAATCTCTCCCTCTATCTCTGTTCTCTCTTGGGCATGGATTCTTAGCCTCCAAATCTGTCCCTCTATCTCTGTTCTCTCTTAGGCATAGTTTCTTAGCCATCTCAAACAACCACCATGCTCTTTTCCTTTATATAATTTGCCCTTCAGTTATAGCCTGTTTTTAGTGAAGGACCAGATAAAGAGGTTTCATTCTGAGCAGTTAATGATTGATATTTAAAAGTGATGTATTTCCCTGTCAAAGACATCTCCATTTCAACTTGGAATGGTCACCTGAAACTAAGATAACAAAAGTCTCTGATTATCCCATCCCCAGTGTCACATATTGAGCAAGGGAAAGTCCGTGGATGACTGGAAAATTCAATACTCCTGAAGTTAATCATATCATGAGACCAGGTATCTGCTCAAGGACTGGCCAACAGTTCTTACTAGTTCCTTCCAGACAGGAAGCTCTGAGTCCTAGGTGTAGTTGATGAAAGGTAAGAGTTCGGAAGCCGTCATGAGTGTTGGTATTTGCCATCAGCATACATGGGAACTGCCCCTTGATAAAGGTTATCTGGATAAAAATCCCCTTAAAACGCTCAAAACATATCTGTTCTTAATGTTTGACTTAGTTCCTTCAAGTTATGAAGCCACTGTAATAATGACATGGAGATCTGTGCATTTCTGTTCCTCATAGAGTAGTATTACAGGTATGCTTTTAATAGAAATATATGTGATATTCAGGAAATTTTGCAGTTTCTCTAGGCATAGTAGCATCAATCTTCAGCACAGCTCACACACAGGCTCTAAGATGGTAGCAGGAGAGTGAGGGTGTTTGTTGATTCAGCTGTTAAGTCCCCTGGGCTGTTGCTCTTGCCAAGTATTTGAGTTTGTGATGCTGGTTTTAGTAAGTGGGGCCAGCTACTTATCACAAAAGTGAGTAAAGACCACTAATCCAGGAACGGGGCCAAGTAGTGGGTCCTCTTTGTCCATCCGGGTGGTCTTCATCTGAAACCAAGAATAATTTGTCAAGTCTGTTCATATCAAATAGAGGCATTCTATTGCATGTTCATTTCACCGTTTCAATAGACTCAACTAGAACAAGCCAGCACCAGCCTGTGGCTACTATGTTAATGATTATATTCATGTAATGGAGTCCTTTCACTTAAGTCAATTACTTCCTTGATATCTTTGATGATTTGGATTTGATTAAGAATTTTTTTCTTTAGTTGTCATTTTTAAAATGGTGCTAATAGAGACTAGGGAGATAGCTCAGTGGTTAGGAATGCATGCTACTCTTTCAGGGAACCTGTGTTCTGTTTCCAGGACCTACAAAGAGCAGCTTATAATCAACTTTCTGTAATTCCAGTTCCAGAGGATCCAATGCCCTCTTCCATCTTCTGTGTGCACTGCACTCACATCCTCATACCCACAGTGTGTTTGTGTATGTGTGTACGTGTGCATGTGTGTGTGCACACACACACACACATGATTAAAGTGGTATTAAAAGAGTACATGCGATTAAATCAGCAAATAAAAATATATTTATTGAGTTTCGACTATGCCCTTAGCTATACCCAATGAATATTGCAGAATATATTTCAACATATCACCCATACTTTGAAAAAGATGCATATTCTGGTTGGGAAAAGTATGATATACACAGGAGTGGAAGATTCATGTGAGAAATAAATGAGTAGTTGTTATGTTGGAGGAATAAAGTTAGTTGAGGTACAACTATCTCCCTTATGAGCACACATTGTACCGGAATGGAGAAACATACTCTTGATCATGATATAGCATGCCTGGTACTCAATAGCCATCGGGATGGCTATTCTTAGCTGGCGATGGCTATTAGTTGTCAATGATAATTCCACATCTGAAATTAACTAACGCCCAAGTGGCTAGGCATACCTACGAGGGATTTTAATTAATTAAATCATTTGAAGTGAGAAGACCTACTTTTAATCCAGATCTTTTGAGGTAGGAAGATCCACCTTTAACCTGGGCCACACTTTTGGTGGTAGCCTAAATAAAGGACATGGAAGAAGGAAGCTTGCTCTCTCTTTGCTTGCTTGCTTTCGCTCTTGCTAGTGTATCCATTCATTTGCTAGCATTAGAGCCTACCTCATCAGGATTCCAGCATATTCTGAAGATGACATCCAACCTCATGGACTGAACAACTAGTGGATTCTTGGACCTTCCATTGGTAAACAGCCATTGTTAGACTACAGTCTGTAAGCCATTCTAACAAATCATATATATATATGTGTGTGTGTGTGTGTGTGTGTGTGTGTGTGTGTGTGTGTGTGTGTGTATTTGTGTATGTATGTGTGTGTGTGTTCCTTTAAAGCAGTTTTCAACCTTCCTAAAGCTGAGACCCTTTAATACAGTTCCTCACCTTGTGATGACTCCAACCATAAAATTATTTATGTTGCAACTTCATAACTGTAATTTTGCTACTGTTATGAGTTGTAATATAAATATCTGATATGTAGGATATCTGATATGCAACCCCTGTGAAAGGGTTATTTAACTCCCACAGGGGTCACGACCCACAGGTTGAGAACTCCTGCTCTAAAGGACTCTGACTAGCACACCATATTAACAAAGACCTACAAGATTTAAACACACTACCAAATCTAGCTGAGGCAAACCCTGAGGGGCATCATAGACCACATGGCATTGAACTGGCAATATAGTGCATGGTTGTAGAAAGTGGAGCTGGTATATTCTTCTCAATGAGGCCTAAATGTATGTCTATGTAGTTCAAAAAGCAATAAATTTATTTGAAAAGGAAAACAAAAGAGAATATGAAGCTGTGGGCCCTAGGTCCATGACTGCCTCCAGCATTATAAATGGGCTTTGTTTTGCTGCACACACACACACCCTGTCTGACACTAAAATGTTCATGCATGAAAGGAGACTTTCTTTAGGATAAAGTCTTCAGAATGTATTTCCATGAAGCCAAGACTTTTTCCCAAGAGTGCACTCAGTGACAAGAACAGTGTCTGGTACATTCAGTTGTGTTAAAGTGGACAGACTGATGCTCACTAATTAAAACAGCAGAGAAATTCCTAATGAGTCAGGTAGATGGCAGATATTGAGTGTCTATAAATATATTTTTCTAAATACATGAATAAAATAGTGATCATGCTGTTGTTACCTGTGAAATAATTCAAAACCCAAGCTTCACTGAGTTTTACCTGGGAAGAAGTTCAGGGAAATAAATCTTAAGGTTTTTTTTTTCCTTAAAGGTCTTTTAATCATTACAAACCTGGGTACCATGACAGCATGACTACCTAAGCCATCCAATCCTAGCTGCCCCCCTTGAAGTATAATTGGCATATAACAAATTGCATACATTTAAATTAAACAATTCAACTTTTTTCCCTGGTACGGGGTCTTCTATAGCCTAGGCTGGCCATGAATTCACTATGTAGCTAAGGATAGCCTCAACTCCACATCTTCCTGCCTCCACCTCCTAAGTTTTGAGATTATAGCCATGCACCACTGCGCCTGAAAAATTACATGGTTCAAGTTTTGACATAAGAGTAAATCATGAAAACATCATCAAAACCAAGTGAATGGAGATATAACCCATCTTCAAACCCCTCGTTTTCCTCACTTGCCTTTACAGTCATTTTCTATCCTTGCATTTCCTCCAAGCCGACTATATTCTATCTGCCTTTTGTCACTATTGATTATGAATTCCTAAATAGCAAGTAACAAACAGAGTGGTTTGTTTTAAAATTGTAGGTTTGATATAGCTTTGTGTGACCTTTACAAGAATACATGTGGACTTCCTGTCTGGCCTTGTCGGTGCCTTTAAGAGCGATATCAAAGATACATGGATGCTCTGTGGAACTGGGGACGGATGTGGATCGATATCACAGATGTGTGGATGCTCTGTGAAACTGGGGACGGGTGTGGAGCGATATCACAGATGCATGAACACTCTGTGGAACTGGGGATGGATGTGTTGCATCATAAGGAATTACATTGTCTGTTGTTTGAGAACTTTCTCTGCGGGGCTTTCATGATGCTGAACATATGGGAGTCAGCTGCAATGTTTTCTGCTCCAATACATGGAATTGCTCAAAGAAGAAAATGTATGATGAGGAGTAATCAATTGCAAAACTTTTCAAAAATCTCATAACGAAAACAATCTGGTTCTGAAGGCATTTTAGGTCTAAAACAGCAAAGGGAGGATGAAAGAGAACCAGATATCTCAATGGGGTCTTTACTTTGCATTTCTCTTGGCAGAAGCCAAGATTTTCTACATGTGGTTTTTCCTGAAGACAGAGAAGCTCCTCCGTTAGCAGCTGCCCCCTGCTCTACACTTGAGTTTGGTTCCTATAGTTTACCAGGAAAACAACTTTATTACTTTTGCCCTTTCCAATGCTTTGTTGGTATTAACTTTTGGATGACTTATTCTTATTCAGAAACAGTCAGTTTAATCCTTCACTTAATATCTTTACTTCCCTGCTTGGAGTCACCGTATTTGCTGACATGACGCATGTTTCCTAAAATGCAGAGGAACAAAATCCTATGACTGGATCCTGGGTGTCTGCTCAAATCAAATAGCCACTCACAGGCCCCCGCTCTCCTGCTGGGTTTGCTCCTTCTCCTTTGAGTATGTAAGGCTGAAATCCTCTCCAGAGAAGCTATGCTAAGTTTTTTGTCTTTGTGCTTATTTAAGACAGAGGGTAACTTTTGAAACTATGTAACTGTATAATTATCTAAACTAGAATTAGTGAGGCTGGGTCATGGAGCAGTTGAGAAAGTGCTTGTGCTGAAAGCTTCAGAACCCGAGTTTGATCTCCAGAACTCATGGAGAATCTCTGGGGCTCTCTCGAGTTTGATCTTCAGAACTCATGGAGAATCTCTGGGGCTCTCTCGAGTTTGATCTTCAGAACTCATGGAGAATCTCTGGGGCTCTCTCGAGTTTGATCTTCAGAACTCATGGAGAATCTCTGGGGCTCTCTGCCAACCTAGTTTACTCTACAGGTTCCAGGCCAATAAGAAATCCAGTCTCTAAAGAACAGGTGGATGACACCTGTGAAGGGTGTGCAAAGGTGTCTGCTGGCCACTCACATGTGCGCAAACATGTGTAACATTTGTTTACACTGACACACAAGAGGATTCATTTTTAATTTGGCATCAGTTCAGACTATTAAACGTTTCTTTAGTGTACTCTACACATAACAGCTAACAGACTAGGCTTTACCTAACCTCCTTGTACAAATTCATAATCTACATGTTGCTTTTATCAATTTTATTTCGTGACTGTTTTCTTAAATAAAATACTTCATTCATATCTACTAGCTTTAAATTTCAAAGCTACTCAGAAGATAAGTACAATCCTTATCATACTGTGTTCTGTGTATTTAAAACACAACAGGAGTAGCAAGTAACATCTATAGGAATTAAACATTTCAATGGTATTTAATAGTCTAAATATCATCTAGAACAATTTATAATATTTTAAAGTACCATGACAAATAACAGAAAATCCCAAGTTATCCAAAATACACTTTGTTTTCGAGCTATTATTATAATCAAGTATACTACTTACCTCAAAAATAAGGTAAAGTTTATCCAAACCTAAAGTCTATTGATCTTACCCGAGGACTAATTCAGTGAGTGAATTTTTCCTTTTCCAAAGATGTTCACCTCGTAGCACACGGTTGCCTACCACACAAACAGTTATATAAATACCTGCATTAATTACCTTTCCTGTTGCTATCATAAAAATACTCCAACAAAAGCAACTTATGGAAGAAAGGATAATTTGGGCTCCCAGTTCAAGGATACAGTTCATCATGTCAGAGAAGCCATGGGTAGCCATATTGCACCTGAAAGACATAATAATTATCATGCTTAGCTGGCATCCTCCTTTCTATGGAGTCTAGGACCCAGGCCTATGGAATGGTGTTGCCCACAGTGGAGGTGGTTCTCTCCACCTCAGTTAACCTAATCAAGATAATCCTTCACAAGCATGCCCAGAGGCTAACCAAAATATCCCTCACAAGGTGTTCTCGGAGCGATGTCTCCTAGGTGATTCCAGATACTGTGAAGACAATGATCAGTATTATCCATCACAGTACTCAATACCAGTTCCTTAAACAACAACAAAGATTTATTGAGGTATACAATTGGTATGGAATAAAATCCAAATATTTAAAATATCCAATTGAATAATTTTCATTTATGGATAATTTATGATATCATCATTGAGTCAAAACAACAGATGTATTTACCAAAGCCAGCAATTGCATCTTTATAATTTTTTATTTTTTATTTTTCTTCTATTCTTCCTGCCCTTTTTCTTCATAGGATACCTTTTTCATCACTCTACATTAATACAATTTTCCAAAGTATTCTTACAAATGACTCATAGTTTATGCTCTTCTTTTGTCTGGCTTTTTTCACTTAGCATAAGACCCTTGGGGTTCATACAGTTCGTTCCGTCTTGTGATTGATCTTCATTAACTCAGCCATTAGATTTACTTTTGTTTGTTATTTATCCACTTGTAATTTTTAATTGAAGAAATATAGAGCTTAATAAAAAGCAGAAATATATTAGCCCTATTGGAAAGCTACTCAAAATGTCAATGTGAGCCATAAAATGCCATATATTTACCTTACTAAGAAACTGGTTTTTTGAGCTTTTGGCTACCACTAAGTAAGAAGGCAGTATTTCACTTTTATGATTTCCTAGGAAATGAATATAATCTGCTAGTGCCTTGGTTCCCAGGTTTTGCTATAAAAATGCATGTGAATTAGTCTCCAGCCTTGAGTGATTAGAGAATAATAAAATTTTGTTTTTACTGGAGAGAACACGGAATCACTCTCTGTACAGCAAACAGATGTGAAGGCTCTGAAAATAGAAGCCACATTTGCACTCATTATTTTTAAAGCTACTTCATTTTTCTGCTTCTCAGAAACAATTTTGATCAGACTTTCTGTTAAGAAAGCACCAGAAGTCAGGCTGTTCCTCCCCCTCCTTCCCCTCTCCTTTCTCCTCCTCCCCTTTCCCCCCTCCCTCTCCTCCCTCTCCTCCTCACTAAGGAGGTATCATGCTTTCAAGTGTGATGTAAAGACTTAACAGAAACAGTGAAGCTGTTTGTGGGAGGAACATCTTCTGACTTGTTAATGTTATTTTAAATTTAAAGCAATGAGTCAAGACATCCTTACCAGATTTTTGTTCCTTATTTTTCTTATTGTAGATTTGTCTGCCACTATGATTCTTAAAATTAAGTTTTGACCCTAAGGATATACTTTAATTTTTTAGTGTGTAAAGTCTCTGACATTTCACTGTTTGGCATATATATCCATGTCCCATCGTTGGCTTTACAGATTGAGCAGTACATTTAAACATTAAAAGTTCCTTTCTGGTTGTTATCATTAAAACTCAGCTGATCCAGTTAACTCTGTTTTTTAATGTATTATTTAAATGGCAAGCCCTTTACTTGGAAGTAGTCCAGCTATGAATATTTAAAATAATGAAAATGGTTTTTGGCCAATTTTCTAAGCTTGCCCATGTGGGAAGGAATAGGGTTTTTTTTCCTATTAATAATTGTGCTGACATGCTTCTAAGATTTTCAGTAAACTCTTAATTTTGAAACATTTGACTTGCTTAACTCTAGTATGAGGTTTGAGCTGGTGACCTCTTTTGTCCCGTTCTCTTTGTCTGTCCTACCTCATGTCTTTTCATGTATCCTGTTGATATTTGGGCCCACAAAGGGTGCAGGTGCAGGTGCGCACATATCAAACACCCCATGTTGAACTGGGATTACCTCACTAATTTTGTTAGTTTTATTGTAAAATAAGTCACAACCACAAGATACTGTACAACAAATGTGTATCACACACGCATTTCAGACAGATTTCCTTGTAAGTACTGTTAGGTTAGAGTAGAAATGCTTGCTGGCACCCAAAGCCTTCTTGGGTCTTGCTTTTGTTTTTAAATTTGCTGTGTCTTTCAGTCTCCAAGTTCACTCGCCATTCTTCTCTCCCATATAATTTAGCTATGAAGCGCCCAGCCACTTGACTTACAGATTCTTCCACAGTCTGTGTTGATTATAGTCCCATGGTGTAGTTTTGCATGTTCCTTGATTTGTGTTTTTCTTGAAAATTGCTAGTCTCATGACAGAGTCCTGATCATATTGAGGTTTCTTTTGCTTGTTTGGGCAAGGCAGCGGGTCATCCTGTGTTCTTCCGTCAGTAAGCATATGCCTTGTCATCCTTTTGTGTGTGTATGTGTGTGGGGTGTTACTGTAGGTCTAAACACAATGCCAAGTCCATGAGATAATTTGAGGGGATGAAAAACAGATTCAGGTTTTCATGCTGTCATTTCTTTGTGAGGAGGGCTGGAATGCCCTTATCTACTTTGGGAGAAGATTGCATACCCTTACCTACCATTTGGATGAAAGTTGTATAGAATATAAGCAAAGACAAATGAATGATTAATTGTTAATTTTTGTTATCACTTTCCAGGTAATGAGTTAGCTTCCCTTTATCTTCTATACATGGTATAGAAGTATTTGAACTTACAAATTTAAATATATTTACTGTGGTTAAATTTAATCCAATTTTTCTCCCCATTGAAAAAGATTTCTTTCCCCCAAATATTTGGCTTGTAGAATCCTATCCAAGCTCCTTAAGAGTTATTTTTAAATGACCCTAGTTTCAATGCTCTGATAGCTTTCTTGATTGCTGGTGTGATAATGTGTTCTGGGATCATCTGGATAATGGACAAGTCACGAATGTAGCCATGAGGGTGCTCTGAGCCAGTGTTCTGAGTGGTTGTAAATGGAGACCCAGGATGCAAGTAGCCACAGTACATGCTGTCCTCTTTTTCAAAAGAAATAAGTCAGTCACTCAACAATAGCAACAGCAACAAAACTTTTAAAAGCAATTACTGCACAGCAGATGTCGTAGTACTTGCTGGGAGTATGAGAGTGGAAAACACATGAAGTAACCCAAGGTGTTTACAATCTGACATGAAAAATAAAACAAGACAAGACACTGTTAACTTACTTTGTTGTGTGAGAGTTTTAGGAGAAGAGAAAGAAATATTTAAAGGGAGAATATAAGTCCCTTTGGCTTGGAACACCAGGTAATATTCACTCAAGTAGTGGATGCAGAGTGAGGGAGCAGCGTAGAGGATTTATGGAGTACATGGAGTTCAATGAGCAAGTGTTTCAGCAAGAACTAAAAGACAGGTATATTGCTTCAAGGCCAGTAAATATAATCTATTCAAGAGAGAAGACTTGAAATTATTAGGTGAATACAATTGTACATATGCATGAATATAAATGTTAGCATAGTTTACCTGGTTCCTTTTGATCAGTTAAAAAAATCCATATATCTGTGTTAACTATTCCATGATCCTTGGAAATCAAACCTTGTGGTAAATCCTTTAGGTACATACCTTTTTTTTTTTTTTTTTTTGTCTTTTGCCACAAATGTCCTCCACATAATCCAAAATTTTAATCTGGGATATAAATTGCCAGAGTACACATGTTCTAACTAGAAATGGACTTTCTTCATTGTGACTAAATCAATAAAGGAAAGCCTGGTGATGGTGATGTTGTTTGAAACTGAGCATGAGGTACTGTGTTCTAATTCATTATATCAGCAGAAGTTTCAACCTCACCATTTTAGAGCAACAGGCCAGACCTTTCCCCAGCATGGACTTTAGTTAACACTATGATACATTTCATTTTGGGAACCAAGTACTTTAGACTGCTAATATAATTTCCAAAGGTGAAATTATGATTCTGATGCAAATACGTACACAGATAAAATTTTCTTTAATTAATTAGATAATAAAGAGACAATGTAAAAATATACTTAGAGGAGCTAAGGATAGGCAATCAAGTCAGGGATTCTATGATAGATAGATAGGTAGGTTTGACGCAAAGCAGATTGACATCCTATACATAAGGTGATGATTTTTTACTAGGTAGAAGTGGACTGTGTCTGCACTTAACAAAAGTTCATTGTAAATAAACAGTGAACAGTGAGTCTTACAAAGTGCATTACTTTACTCTTTGATAGTTTGATGTCTGGTATGACATTGGAAGGGTGTGTTATTCTTCTCCTTCTCTTAGACAGGACCACAGTGATTCCTTTAAGCCTGGAGACTGTGACTCATTAATAAAGTAAATTTTCTTGTTTTAGGATACCGAGTTTTTATCCTACTGTGGAACAATTGTCTAATAATCATTAACACTGAGTTTTGAAGAATATAAATTGTTTTAACTGGGCATGGGATACAGACAAAGGAGGGTTTTATATGCTTAATAAATTTAAAGTAATTTGCTATGGAATAAACTCTCTACCTTTTTATGTCCACCAGGGTTTTCCAGGAGATATTGGGATTCCTGGACAAAATGGACCTGAAGGACCAAAGGTAAATTGCAAATAAAAACCATACTGGATGTAGATATCTAGAGTTTTCTCATTTAAATTCATAATATGTGTAGAAAAAAAATCTTAAGAATATCAGAATTATTGGTAATTAAGCATTTTGAGTTCAGAATCCAGTCAGTTCTAAATGATTTTCTAAGTTCATTATAGTTACTAGAGGGATAATATTTGAAAATCATAGATATCAGTACAAAGGGTGTTTCAGAGGCGACAAAAATGAGAACAATTCTTAAAAGTCATAGTGGACAGAAAATAGGAGAGAAATTTCTGACGACTGGAACACTTCAACACTGATAAAATGCCCACTCTTACCATATAAGAAAGCTTGTGGTGTACCAGAGCCTTGATGTGACACAAGGCACCTGGAGAAACCAAAGTGTCCTCACTCCAGTTACTGCTGCTCTGGTGTGCATAAGGA